GGATCGATTTATCTTCCGACGATGAACGAAACGTCGAGAGTCTTTGCAGCTACGAAGTATTTTTAGAACATTACCGGCGGGAAGGGGCAGCAAGAGCGCGATCAGATGCACCGTCTGTTGCATGCGAATGCGCTTCCTATACGTTGAATATTCATGCAACAATCCGTAATTTGTGTCGAGCCGAAGGTCCGCACATGCATTTGCAACGATCAACATAATTTTTCATCCGGCAATTCTCGAACGGGGCGATTTTTCAGAATCACGAAACTAATGAATTTTAATCGTATCTCGCGCGCGCGTACGCGCAAGCGAGCGAGCGAGCAACTTGCACGCATGTTATTATTGTTATTGTTGCTACTGGTGCTGCTACTGTTCACACATCTGATTGCAACAGTTCGCGTGCATGTAAGAGAAATGTCTTACTATGGGTTATTTGGTAACTAATTCGGCTTTCTGCAGTTTTTGGTTAATCTCGCGCGGGTGTCGCGACCGGGAGAGGCGCGAGAAATGGTCTGATAACGTTGTATACCGCCGAGCGTGCCGTTTAATTTAATTCTATTTCTAGAATTTCAATATTTTTACCGATTGCACGTTTTGGCTCGAAACGAATTTCAATATTTGAATAGGATCGGACACGCGTTGGATTCGGAGGTTGGTATACGTTGTAACATAAATCTGCACCGTAAAATAATCATTACACTCGACGGACTCAATATCGGCTACCCGGCAAAATTGTCGATAGCTTTCAGAAATGAATAACCCACCCTTAATCCTCGATTGATTCTCTATAGATTTTGTTTCGCCGATATTTACATTCGTAAGCCAGCTTTAGACAATTCGTCATTCGCGATGGAAAGCGAAACGGAGAGAGGAGAGATTCCAGTTGTAATTTCGCGAGAAAAGATTTGAGAATTTGCATTTACGAGCACGTGTGCAAATGCATGCGCGGCTCCGTAAACCAGATATGTGTGTGTGTGTGTGTGTTTTCTCACGAACAAAATTCCGCCTCCAAACTTGCCCGCTCGTTATCGATCGCGCGCGACGCGCGCGAGGACTTTAGGCCAAGATTAATATCGAGACTCCGATGATCACGCACGTTGGAATTTTTACGGGAGAAAAATTGCGAGGAGACGCGATCGCGATATGTCGCTGCAGTCCGATGCAAATCTCGCGGAGACCGTCCGACGGCGCGACGCGGTGCCGCGCGTCGTAAAACGGAAATTATCGGGCGGAAGAAGGAGGAGGGGGAAGGGGGGGGGGGGGTGTATACACGTTGAATTGATAGAACACTCTTAATACCCAGGGGAGCGCGTCGACACGAGGAATCTCGCTCTCTCGGCGAAACACTTACGCTACTACACACCCGCTCCGTTTTTCACGCGCGTTTCTTGCGCTTCTCAAGCGGATCTCGTCGGCGAATCCCGCCCCGGGAAATTAGCAGGTTCGCGTTCATCCTGCCGTGTCGCTGAATCGGGCCGGTGAAAAAGCATTCACCGTCGCCTCGCGCGCGCATCGTCTTCTTCGTCGTCGACGAGAAAACAGCAGTCGCAGGCGGGAATGTGTAAAACGGCGATTGTAACGAGTCGGGACGTCAATTTTCTAAAAGCTCGCCGCAATACGTCGACTCCTCCGACGGTCACGTTGGAAAAAGCGGGTGAGACGACGACGACGACGATGCTGGGGAAAAAGTGTGGCCGTTCGTACCTTCGCTCATTCTTTCGCGCCTTCGTTCGTTCGGTGGACGGACTAGCGAACGAAGCGGCCGGTTCAACGGCGCGGAAAGAAGGGGTGCGAACGCTAAGAGGCAGAATTTCCTCGCTCTTACCACCTCTATCGGCTCCCCCTCCGGCTCTATCGATACCCGGTCGACCGATCGCCCCTCGGAGCAGCGGCGCGGCCGACGAGGGTGCCGACGAGCGGTCGCGACGCGCGTCCCGACGGACGAATCTCCACGGGCCAATGCCCGGTCGCGCTTCAAACAAGAGGGAATTTCGAGCCGGCCGGGGTAGTGGATATCGATAATACGTCGCGGCTCGCCGCGGCGCCGTGCGTCGCACCGGTATCGGAGTAACGAATCGGCGGCCGAATTCAATGAAATTATTCTCTCTTTTTCTTTCTCGACGAAAAGCCGAGGAAACGAATCGCGGTGTAAGAGTAACGGCGCTCCGACGAATCGAGTTGCTCGAGGAGAACGAGCGAGAACCCCCGCGATGATTCCTGAAACGTCGAGGGAAAATTGCGAAGCCCTACGCGTAGGTACACCGCCGGTCGTTTTCTACCCGCCTTCTGTCTTCGGGTGCGCCTGAAGGCAAAGGAATCATCCACGATGCCCCGTGGAATGAAATGCTGCTGAAAGGAGTAAAATGAAGGATTCTAAGAAGCCGCGGCATCAAAGGGTCCTTCTGGCCGGAAGTGAAAGCAAAATAGCCTCTGTTGGTTTTTGGGACAATGAATACGCCAAAGGTTGTTTTTGGGGAGGTGGTCGGTTCGAATGCATTCAGTGTACGCACGTGTGGGCTACGCGACAGCGGGTGAGCGAGCGAGTGCAGTGCACGTACGCTTCGCAACTTTCGGAACATATTTTTACCCGAATTCGCTTATTCGTCGCTGTGTATATCTAAAAAAAAGCGCTTTCAACGTTGTGGACGTTAATGATTTTAACGTAAAATTCTCGCGCGAAAAATTTACATGCATCATGTACGTGTACGCGTGGGTGTGTTAGCGCGCTTTTAGTGCGCAAATTAATTCTGTATAAATTCCCGATTGCTCGATTCTATATATTTCAGCGCCGGCGTGTCGCTTGTTATCGTGTCGCTGATAGGCGCCGCCGTTTCTCGCCCGTTAAAGAGAGAGGACAGGCGCGAAAAGTTGCGAGGGAAGTTAACGTCGTAGTTTTATTATATACTTTACCCGGCTATTGTCTTCCCGTATGAAAAAAAGCCGGCGTCTCGCGCCCTGCGCGCGAAATCTTCGTCCTAACGTGCGTTAAGGGAATCCTTTAGTATCGGTCAGAAGCAGATAAGAACGCTGTAATTTACGGCGAGCTGGCGGACGAACGACGCTACGGAGGGCGCGACACTCATCGGCCAGATACGTCGTAATAGCGTTCGCAGCGTCGCAGTCTGAATCAACATAAAAATAATATTAGCTCGGAATTTATGGCTGATGAGAGCACGGCGTGATTGCGCTCGTGCGAGACGACGCGCTTTTAATTCCCGAAGCGAGACTAAGGTTGCGAAAAACTCGCAGATATAACGATCAAGGACATTTCATTCGGTTGATACGACTCGAAAGTGCTGTTTATAAATTGCTATTAATTCTATAATAACGGTTATGTTATTAATTTCATAATGTATGTTATATATATTTATGTTATTATACACACACACACACACACACATATATATATATATATAATAATAATTATTATTATTATAGAATATATTATTATTGTATATGATTATGTCACTAATTTCGTTATAATAATGTCGATGATAAATATATTTTCCTTTGAACAACATACGGAGCTTATACTTCAAACTCAATGTTTTCCATAATAATGGTTATCCTTTCTCGAATATCAAATGGCCATTATGCAAGAAAGATCCAAGCCACATGGAGTACGTTCTGAGAAAAATGAAGATGAAAATTTGATATATGATTTAAAAAGTATAAATAGTACTGAGGATCTTCACGATCGTACAGGAAGTCAAGCATAGGCTATTTTCTTCCGTTTAAAAATATTCATTGATAAGCTTAACCCTTATCGGACGCTAGCTTTTTATGCGTGATTCTCACTAGGTTGTAGCTGGTTTCGGTAAATATGCGAAAATGTCACCTCCTACGTGACGTAAGACCGCAGCGACGAAGTATTGTTGTTACGTGAGAGGTGACTTACAACCGATAAGGGTTAACTCTTAAAAAATGAGTAAAAACGACTCGTCAAAAACAGCTAGCAATAAAAATTTTTCTTTTTTTTTTTCATTAATATTAATATCATTCGCCCGTAATATTTAGATCTTTTTGTTTTATGTAGAAAGACGTAAAGGACGGTGATAATAAAATCTCAAAAATCACAATTTCGTAGATTGGATCCTTCTTGCATAAAAAATCTTCAAATTTAATTATGTAGAATTTTACTTCTGTTTCTTGGTCGTTTCCCCTACATGTGTATTAAAGCTAGTTCGCCTCACGTCTCTCTGAAGAAAAAAAGGAAGAAGAAAAAAGAAAAGAACGTCGCGTACGAATCTTCCTTCGTCGTTCGATAAAGCCAAGGAAAGAAAAGGAGCGACGTCGAAGCAAGGAAATCGCGTCAAAGGTTAATCGCGTGCACTCACGACTGTTCCCGTAAGCTGCTTTCGGTACGGGACGCACCTGTCTCGAGAGAGCGCGATCATTATTTAAAGCGCGACGATGCACTACGGTAACGCTATCAGAAAGAAACAGTTCGAAAATCGAGTCGCATAGTCGTCTCCGCCGTTGTTGTTGTCGTCGTCATCGCCGCCGCCGAAGATCAGTGATTTCTCGTGCGCGCGAGAGGGTGGCAAATCGAATCTCCGAGGACGCTCGCGCGATCAGAAGAAGATGGAAAAGCGAGGAAAAGTCGAAGGACCGCGCTCGCCGGAGGGTATCGAGAGGCGAAGAGGTACAGGGAAAACCGGTCGTGGGGATGCGAGGGTTGGAGGACCGGAGGAGGGTTCGAGCGACGTGCGAGAGTGTAAGTAGGGGCCTCCGAATGGGAGGGGGGGAGGGAAGAAGGGCAGGGTGGATCGGCGGAAGAGGGATGAACGAGCGGGGTGGCGAAGGGGGGTGGAGAGAGAATCGGCGCCTGCGTGATACGGTACCTATCTACTTGTCAGCCAAGCAGAGCTGCCACCACCCCGAGACTCTCGCTCTCTCGTTCTCTCTCGGTCTCTATCTATCTCTCTCTCTCTCTCTCTCTGACGGCGCCGCTACTCGATAACAAACTCTACAGTACCAGTACTGGCACGGTACTCCGGACCACCGGGTCGCCCTCTCTCCGCCGCGCCGGTGGTACATCGGTAACGCGTACGAAACGGGAATCGCGGACGTGTCGGCGCGTTCCTCGTTCGCGCGATCTCTTCCCGTCTTACATCTCGCGAAGGGACTGAGTGTGCGCCACCCCATCGATAGATCTTCCGCGGCTTCTTTCGCGCCTCACTCCTTCCCCCGGCGACGGGGAGATCCATCGATGGATCTTCATCTCGCGAGGCGCGTTCGTGCCGATCTTCCCTCGGCACCGACGTGCGTGCGTGACTGCGTGCGTGGATGAATGCGTGCGTGCGTGCGGGACGCGAGTCATTGATCGCGATCGCGCAGGGACCGGTCGAGGCGGCCAACTTCGGCTCTTCTTCGTCGCGCTATCTCCCGTCATTCGGCGCCGCGATCTACGCTCACGATCGCCGGAAGTAGTTCCCGCGAACAATTGAAGAAGAAAGACGAGGGAGAAAGACAGGTGGCGATTCCGCGATATTTCACCGACCGAAATGGCAGCTTACGCGGCGTCGCGGAGTTTCGTCTTACTTCGTTGCGTCGGGTAGATGATACGTCCAGTGGATACGGACGGTGCAGGACGGACACCCGCGGCCAAATTTCCTACGAGCTGGTTCGCCGATGTCGATTAGCGCAAACTGTGATTGACCGAGAGGGTCGCTTGCACCGGCGTCGTCGCTCAGGGCCGACGACGGTTAAGTCAATTTTCTCCTCGCTGTCCATATCGTAGATTGAACTGTAATCTACAAAGGGATCGAGAGGCGATCGCCGGCCGAGCCAGGTTTGCTTGATCTACCTACCTACCAATCTATCTGTCTATCTATCTATCTATGTACCCATCTATCTGTATATCTATTCATCTATCAATATATCTGTCTATCTGTCCATCTGTCGATCAGGACCAACCTATCCTACTTAAACGCGCCCAGACGTGGATTCGCGCATACTGCTGATCGGAAGGCAGGGGCGAAACGGCGCACGAGGCGCAGATTAACGCGGCCGAAGGATATCGCAATTTCCGTCCGCAGTTTCCTCGAAATTATTACTGCCGCGCGTAGAGAACGCGCGCGATCCACAGGCGGACGGAAGGGGGATCGATTAAACCGCGCTCGGCGTTAACCGAACAGCCGGCGAAACCCGGGCCTTTGTACGCGGGCGAAAAAGACGGTCCACCGGCCTGAGTGTATCGTCCACCGTTCGTTGCCGTTCTCTTTGTGCGCCTGGTTATGGTGTATAACTTGTTGCTCCCGGGCAAACGAACGTGTGCAGTGGCCTCGGATTGCAATTTCGTATCTTCAGCTCGGCCGCCGATGGCGAATTGCCATGCTCGTTCGGGGATCTCTCTCTCTCTCTCTCTCTCTCTTTCTATACCGTTCTCTAGCTCCATCTCCCTTCCCTCTTTCTACTTCTCTTTTTTCTGCCCCGTCGAACGCATCCAGACCGGCTCCCTCGCCGCCCGTTCTTTCGGCGATAAAAGCGAACCGACACGATTCCACGGCCTGTATCTCGGCGGCGGAAAGGAGAGAAGAGGCAGGGGGAGATGGTGGAAATGAGGAAAATGGGGAAGAGAGAGAGAGAGAGAGTAGCGGAGGCAGCGATATCGCGAAAGGATATAACAGCATCCCCCGGTCGTCCTTATTCTCGGCCGACCTTTCTCGTTATTTGCGGCTTAGGACGGCTGCAAAACAAACACGGTCGCGCGACCGTCCCTCCAGCTTGGTATTTGCCGCCGCGATTATCCTGCTTTCTCCCGCCGGTCGCGCATTACCGTCCCGGACCTCCGAGGGAGACCGAGCGAGCGAGTGTGATTCGATCGCGCCGATTAATCAACGGCACACGGATATCGGACAAATTGAAAAGTTCCCGGCAGCCGGGGGAACCAGTTCCGCCGTCCTCTCGCGTCTCGAAATCAGGATCCTCCCCCTCACGGACCGCGGCGGATCGAATCATCCGCGGCTCGAGATTACACCGCGGAAATGAAGTTCCCACTCGGCCTCTGATCATTTCCACGCTCGAGCGATCGCCGGCAATCACGCGTCAAAGCTCGCTGCACGACGAGCTGCCGAGCGGAAAACGGAAAACGGGAGCGAAGACGGAATCGTTTCCGTAAATATCAGTTAGACTGAAGCCGGAGTTCAGCTTCGAACTCCTGTTCGCTGGCTTCCCATGAGACAATCGGAAGCGAGGGAGAACCCGCTCGAAGCTTCATTAGGCTTAACTAATGTTTATACCAATAGGAAGAGAAGACAAACCGCGTGTGTCAGCCTTCCAGATGGCAATCGTCATCGAGAGACGGACGCCACTCCGTCATTCCGATTCCGCTCGCGCGTCCTCCCTCTCTCGCCGTCTCGCTTTGAGCTCTCTCCTCCGTACGGGAAAAATTCGATTTCGCGGGTCGGCGCGGCGGGGTGACAAATTGAATTTTTCTCAGTTGTCCTCTACCAGCCCCGAGGGGCCGCGTCCGCGCCCCTACGAAGGGCTTTATTTATTAAAAAGGCCGAACCGCGCGTTGACGGCCGTGCTCGTCGCGTCTCGCCTCGAGAGCCCGACTTCTCGGCTCGATTTCACGGGGGTGATTTCAGGAGACCCGATGGATCGAACACGGCCCGCCGGCGGCCGAGGAGGCTTCACAGCAACATTAAGCGATTAACGCGTCGGCCGGTAACACGACGAATAGCGATTGCCACTGACGGGAATCTCGCGCGAGATTGAACGCGCGTTTCCCACAGGCGCGAGAGACGTAAGCTGTCGAACGCGCGCGCGGAGATTAAGTAGTTACGGGTCGCTCCGGTCCGACCGTGACCGCCTTTTTCCACTGCTTAAAATTCTGCCGTCGACCGACCGCCGGGTTTCTTGATGAAGTTTGATAAAGCGCGGCCGGGATTAAATAGTTATGGGTCGATAGCGCGGTGAGATTTAATTGATACTTTCTCTCGAGTCCGTCCCCCCCCCCCCCCCCTTCCCGCTTTCTTCTCCTGCCACGTTGCGTTCTTTTTGCATCCGGACTACTCGAAATCTTTATCGGATTTTAGGGTGATTTCGGGCGCGTTAAGTACGTGTAAAAAAGAGTCTCTCTCTCTCTCCGAATCCTCTCGAGGAAATGTTTTGTGAGGATTCGAGCGATTCGTGATTCCCGTTCTCTCTGTCGCTGTTTTTCAACAAGTTAGGAACGAGTGAAATTTCTGCCTTTTTCCCTGTTTTTTTCCACTCTCTCTTCTTGTGAAATCGAGTTCCGATTGTTTCGCACGAGACCGATTGAAAGCCGCGCTCCTGCTCTTCGAGGGCTCCGCGCGTAATAAATGAAGTCCCCCTTAATGGCGACTATACCGCGAAATTAAGAAAAATAAGTACCTCAGGCGTCGCTTTAAGAGAGAGCTCGCCTCGTTCCCCAACTTTCGAGTGAACTTCTGTCGGTCGCTTCTTGTGTTTCGACAAACTGTGAAAGTTAAATAGTTACGAATTGCTTACGCCTCGACTGTACTCGTATTTCTATCTCCTCTTCGCGTTCCAAATCCTATCGTCGATTTGTAACAGCCTTTATTGCGAACGGATTTCGCGGGAAACAATAAAATCTCAAACGGTCACGCTTTCTCTCTCTCTCTCTCTCTCTCATTCTCCACTCGGTGGAACTAATTTTTCTATCACTTAGAGCACCGCCATGAATTCTTTTTAAAGCCACGCGCCCCGAACGGCCATGAAAGAAATCGAGTAGTTGGGGATTAAATTAAGTCAGCCTAGGCTCGTTCTTTACTAATACATACTCGAAATCTTCTCATCGGCATCGTGATTCTCTTTTCCTGTTACCATTAAAGGTGTCGAAAGATCATTATTAATATTTATAGTTTTCTTGATACACGTTTAAAAATATTTGTATTATAATAACGAAATTAAGAATATATTGCACATTAATGCCGTACTTGCAATAGCGCATTAATTCCAAAATTTGTAGCATGTCTACGTATTAGTCTTTAATGCCATAATAATTTTTCATTAAAATCTTATCTTTAGTTTAGGAGATATTAAAAATAGAAATTAAAAATAGCACACTAATCTCAAGGAACATATATAAAAAGAGTCAATTTTAGTTACAAATATTTCAGCTCCCGAATGGTCAATACTTTCTTATTAGACGAGCAATGTGAGTTAAATAATATTTCAATGTATATGCAGTGCAAATTTTATCGAATTCTTATCAAAATCATTTCACTTTATAACCTCCTTTAAAGTGGAATACCTTTTGATCCAGGCTCTGAATAACTGTCAAACGTTTCGTGCCGTTTTTAAATGCAATGTAAATTAATTTGTAATTTTTTTATAATTTTTTCCATTACTTTGATTTATGAGTAATATATCTTTAAATAAATATGAGGTAGTTTAGGTCAGACCATCTTTCAACGTGCCTACGTTTCTTAAGATCTTAACGATTGTTGAAGAAATAAGAAGATAAGATAATAGTAAGTTAATTTTTCGTCTGATAATATCTTGCAGAAAACGCCGCTTTATATAACGAAAAAAAGGGAATTTTTATAATCCACAAATGCTGAGTGGCCACTAATCGCGGCAAACGGGTGTAAGAACGCATATTTCTGTCGCACGAAAAAATCCTCTTAATTCGCGAAAAATAGAAAATTATGAGAATTGCGTGCTCCTTCACGTAAATTTAATTCGCATTCTTCTTACCGAGCTACCGCTGATTTGCGACGCGCTCCCCCGACCGCGGGCGAACATTCCGAAAAGCTATGGAGAACTCGAGAATTACAGACCTTTTCGAGTGAACCTAACGCGTATATATCCTTCAGTATCCTGGTAGCGAGGATTCTTCCAGCGAGTTCACGGCTGAAAGCGACTGAAAATTTCCACGCCCGGCGTCTCACAAAGTTTTCGAAGCGTGTTCCACATAGTTAAAAATATACATCAGATCGATAAATTAACGTGTATCTTTCGATAAGGGATTTCTACAAATTTCTATACTGAATATAACGAGAGAAAGTGTTATAAAATCAACAGCCAATGAATTCTGACATTTTTCTTTCTCTTAACCAAACCTCGATTCTTTTCATTATTTTCGAATTTCAGAAATCAGTAAAAGTGACAGCCCGATTAACCCTTAGTTTCTTCTTTTGTGCCTCCTGCTATTTTGCATGCAAAAGTTCCGGCCGATTGTACAAGAATTGTGACATTATTTAGGTACGCCGTCCGCCTTCTTTATCTCTCTATTTAATTCGCTCCACGGTGCACGATTCTCTTAGGCAATTCCGCGCGCGAACATTTTCTCGTTTACGAAGCCTAGTAGTAACTTTTCGCTGCTCAGCCAGCAATTCATGAGACCTTGTTGCACAGCGCCAGTCGCGGGTTGGTCTCTTCCCTTCGGCGAGACGCTCGTCCGAAAACGGGTTGGCTCTATTACGCGCTATGTTTGTTCTTGCTCCGAAAAAACGAGCGGGTCGACCCACCGTTTAATTTTCCTTCGGTGGCGATGTCGGCAATTTCCGAAAGGATCGTTAACACGAATCGTCCCTGCTCCTTAGCGCCCGGTCGCGAAAAGAGGCTCATTGTTTTTTTACCACGGGGTTAAACGCAATCTATTAGGGCGAGCGAAATGAAAAAGTACGGGGAGTCGCGTACGGGACTTGACTGAAAATTACAGACGTGTGCGAATTATTGGGACTATGACTAATATAGCTTTTATTTATCCGTGTAAGATTGCACTATATCTTCAATTAGAATATATTTTTTTGTAAAACTTTCTTATATTTAGGATTTATAGGTTCCTTCTTATTG